CACTAAAGATTTTGATATTTAGTCGTAAGCAAAAATGCTTGCAAGAAGCGAAAGATAAGCCTATATTAGTCAGGTATCATCCTATATATTGAACCAGAAATAGTTCGGTATAATATAGTTATTTTAAAAATACGGTATTTGCAAAATTTATCATGCTATTACGATAGTCTCTCTTGCCATTCAATAAACTGCATAATTATTATCCATTAAAATATATTTTCTGGTTTAAAATGTACAGCCTCAAATATCTGAGTTTCTATGCAAAAGTTAAATTAAATTAACTCGATAAATAACTCAATTTGATCACTTTTGTTATACAGTATACTGTATATCGTTTATAATTTATTATAGTATTAAAAATAATATTCAGTAAATATAGATATAATAGAGATATTTATTATCAAAAAATAGTACATACCGAGGTGATTAGTGCCAAACTGCATCTCGAAGCCATCAGTGGTGGTCCACTCGGGGGTATTCATAACCCCCGCGTTGTTGATGAGTACGTCTATGCGGTCGACTTGAATGCCCACTATTTGGACGAACTCTCGAACCGACTTAAGTGACGCCAAATCCAACTGAATTACGATGAGGTCTGCCCTCCCGTTTCGCAACTTTATATCAGCCATAGCCGCCTCTCCCCTCTCGAGGGAACGGGAGCTCATGATTACCTAAAATATTAAAAGTGTTTTAAGTGTTAAATGAAATGATTGTTAAGTTTTTAGACTTACTTTAGCGCCGCGTAATGACAGCTGATATGCCGTCTCTTTGCCGATACCGGTGTTGGCGCCGGTGATCAAAACTACCTGTCCGTCCAGTCGCCGATTACCTTGATACCTTTTGGTCCTTTTAGTGACATTGCGGGTTACTTCGCTAATTGCTGTTAAACCAAACTTAATGTAACTCATAATTATATACTGTATGTTATGTTAGCTACTATTAAATCACTTTAACATTAAAATAAATATTTTTCTAATTTATTTTGTTGAAAATAATATTACTTTTTATAAGACATGAGACAATATTGTAAATATCGTACGATGTCTACTAGATATTGATTTTTAATTTATAATACATGCGCCCGTAATATGAACTTGCCAAGGTTTGAAACTACCTATTTTTAAGGCCAAGTCCCTGTGCACTACATAGTTTTTGGGGGGATGTAGGTTTTGGTTATAATGCTTAGTTTGTAATGACCATAATTATTATTATTGATTTTATGAATATATTATTTTTATGTGATTTTATTATTTGCCTAAATAATAAAGTTAATGATTTATTTTAAAATTATGTTAGTAATACACGATATCATTATAAATAGCTATTATTTTTGAAATAATAATAATTTAGTTTAGGTTGTGAAATATTAATATGTTTTTGTTAAAATATGCCTTTTGATATACTGTATACTGTATTCATTATATCATAAAAATGTTATATTTTAAAAATTAGTTACAAACTTTAACAAAATAAAATAACAACTTAGTTTTTATAAAATATTTTGATTAACATATTTTCTAGCATCTGAAGCAATATCTAATTATAAAAATTTAAAATTTTATTTTCTATTTACGTCAATTTTATATAATAGTTAAATGATCAATTTGTTATAAACATGATGAATTTAGATACATATTTTCAAAAAATTTAATAAATTAAAAAAGAATACAAACTACAACCAAATATTAAATATTTCAACATGATTAAAGTTTGACTATAATGTCTGATTTATTATTACAGTTTAGAAATTATAATGAAGTATAATAAAATGTTAATTATATTACTAACTCATAATTATTATCATTAATTCATTATTAATAAAAACAAACCAAAATGAGTAAATTTTACGTCTAGATTGCAATACTATTTATTTTCACAAATATTGGATAACATTTTATTTTATTACATAAAAGTATAACTTATTTATGTAACATAAAATTGGTAGGATAATTTATTAAAAAAACTTTAACTATGTGCCTACTCCTACCAGTTCGCGACTACCGGGGCTGATATATATAATTTAGGCTCCAGGTGTACCAACTTACAACTCAACTGCCACAAAGCACCGGCGGTTTTGTCATCGGTAGCCGTCGGCAGCATATCGTCCACTCGTTGACAGTTTCTGTCAAAAAATATAACTTAAATAAAAATTTTTAAAAAACCCAAAACTCACGCGTAGTAAAAGCCAGACTCGTCATCCAGGTGCTCATCCAGACAGCAATATAGGGTGGTCTGAACACCCATTTCGGGGCTTAGGAACACGGTTTGGGCTACTCTTTCGCCGACAGCGCCCAGGTCTGCGTGTCGGCCGATGTTAGTGGCGACTATACCCGGGAATAGACTGTAGGTCTTGACGCGGCTGTAGGGGCCCAACCGACGGGCCATTTCACGCGTGAACAGTATGTTCGCGAGTTTGCTCTGAGCGTAGGCTTTGAATGGCTTGTAGGTGCCGTTACGTAAGTTTATGTTATCAAGGTGGATTTTGCCAGCCATGTGGTCCATGGATGAGACCGTGACTACCCGTCCGATTGGCGATTTGGTGAGCATTGGTAGCAAGTGCATAGTTAGTAGGAAGTGACCTGTAATTTAAAATTCGCGTAGGTTAGTTAATGTGGAAAATTAAAAAAAGTGTTTAAATCTAATTTTGTTCATATCTAATATGCAGTAAAGCCAATAGCTTGGTTATTTTAGTAATAAATATTGTATTAATTAATTTGCTAATTAATAATTACAATTTGAAAAAATATTTATTTTTATTTACCAGTCGTAAATAATTGTTAATTTTTAAAATCTTACAATGTAATTTAATTTCTAAAAATTTATTTAAACATCAGCGATGTGTGCTCCAATTTTACAATTAATGACCATTATCATTAATGTGTCATTTTACTTTCTTAAACTTTACAGGTTACAATAGGTAAATATTATTCAATGCTAATTTGTTTTATAAATTTAAAATTAGACAAATACTTACCAAGATGATTTGTCCCGAAGTGGTTCTCAAAGCCGTCAGCAGTGGTCCACTCGGGGGTATTCATGACACCCGCGTTGTTGACGAGTATATCCAAGCGGTTGACCTTTTGGGCGACCATTTCGGCAAAATATCGCACGGAATTCAGTGACGATAAGTCCACCTGAAGTACGATGAGGTCTGCCCTCCCGTTCCGCAACAGTATGTCATTCATAGCCTTCTCGCCCGTCTCTGCCGAACGACAGCCCATAATAACCTAAAATATAAGGGATATTAGTCTTAAAGGGAAAGGTATGTTAAACCGTTTGTAGTATACCTTAGCGCCGCGTAGGGAGAGTTGGAGTACAGTCTCCCTCCCGAGACCACTGTTAGCACCCGTGACCACAACTACCCGGCCGTCGAGTCGTCGCTGACTTTTGCACCGTTGGCTCGTTTTCGTGATAATCCGACCCAACGTTCCCATCGCTGTGTACGACAGCCGTAGATAACTCATCGCTATATTAATGATATGTTTTTGTATTTCAATATAATATAAGTTTTAATGTTTGCTTTGAATTGGAAATGGTTTTTGAATTAAATATATTTGAATTGTTTTTATAGTTTGATAGTTTGAATTTGAAATTCAAATGAGTTCATGTATGGTAAACATGAGCTAATCAAGGTCTATTTGGTGTATTTGTACTGGTTTGTGCATAGTGTATTTGCATGTCTGACTATAATTGTGATTTGCTTTACTGAGTATTATAGACTTATAGACATTTTCTTTTATAAATTTTTATTGTTTAATAATTATATAATAATATAAGTATGCAAACTATTCATGATGTATATACAATTATCTATACTTAATATTACCAAATGTACATCATAAAATAAAATTTATTTCCACTTAATATAGACTGATCGTGTAAAATGTAATTATTCAGCTTATTTTAAAAAGTTTTATTATAATTAGTAAAATAATATATTTTGTAATTTATTTACTCAGATACTCAATATTTTAATTATTGTTGTTTAATAAACATAATGAACAAATTTGAGTTATTGAGAAATTACATGTGATTAATTAATTAATTGTATTTTTAAAAAGATTATTGTCTGGGTTAAATAATACGTCAATTGTACATAATTCACAGAATAAATAGTTCATTGAACAAAAAACAAATTTAAAAAGTTTCTATAAATACCACTAGGTATTTTTTTTAAATAATTGTTTTAGCATTATTGTTTAAAATGGCCCATTT